TAATCGATAGTTACGAGGATTTGTTTTTACGCAAAGAGATACTAGTGTTCCTAAAAGATTTAGTGGACATTCACAAAAACATTTGGAATACACACGATTAAACATAAATTTGGGGCCCAGTTTCATAACACTTTGTTCAAAAAGTTTCGTGAGCATTGTTGCTTTACAAACGTTCAGTGGCATCACTAAATTAAAACGCTATTGTCTCAACATCAATATCTTAGACTTAGTAAATCAGGAACCCAATACTATCACACATCGTTCAAGATCGTCAATGACTATTTCTTTTCCATAAAGTGTCGGTATCGCTACTATACATATTGTATACATTTACCAGATTTTTGTTATCAAACACAGGTACAGTTATCCTAATCATTTTTCAAATAACTAGGATCACGATCACGCTTTATCCAAGTCTTCCTATGAACATTGTTTTCTTCACCATAGCGTAGGCATCATTATAAGTATACCTTGGGATTGCAATACCGATAAATAACGAAATGTTTCTTCAGTAGACATCAAGTAGAAAACAGCGGTCAACGAACAGACCTGTCAGTCAATTCACTCTGTATATCCGTGTACAAATAATAAAAATCCTTGCGGTCGGAAACGGTACAACTAATTTGATTTTGAACCTATGCAAGAACGGGTTAAACGCGTCAATTTTCGTAACGCGTATCGACGCGAACGTTATCCTTATTCCCTCCAGGCGTTTCCTCTTAGCGAGGATTCATTATCACGGCACGCGGTGCACCAGAAGCGGCCAGGAACAATCCAACCGCCGGTGGGGGGCTTCATTCCGCGGGCATTTTTCCGCTGTGGGAACGCCGCGGCCAACGAGTAACGTGGTGCCGCCGGGATTTCACCGGTAATTCGAAAAATGCATAGGAATTAGCGGGAGTGGTATGCGTGAGCGCGGGATAAGGACGTTTCGGTGGCAGCAGCGACAAAGGTATTCGCCATAGGCACGTTGATGCGTGAGTTTATGCGTGCAGAGAGAGAAGGACGCGAAAGAATGAGCAGGAAAAGGGAAAGAACGACAAGGTGTGTGCGGGTCGCCAACACATCTATCGATATCTCACGGTTCGATCTTTCTCGGTCCGGCCGCCCGTATATTTACATGTATAATTTATATATCCCGTGGCAAGAACGAGAAGGTGGTGTGTGCTCAGTCAGGGCGGGTCCTAACATCCTAACGGCCGCATCCTTCGGACGCATCCTCGCCGCGAGAGCGCTCTTTCTCTCTAAATCGCCATCACGCAGGGCTCCTCGTGAATCGAGAAATTCGCGGGAATCCAACCAGCTGAATTCCCACGATCCTCCTATAATGGCGATTCTTTTGCTCCGCGACCGCGATCGAATATAAATCTTCGGAGCAGCGTTTCCTGTAAACAGGATCGCGCGTGTATTTTCCGAGAGAATAAAGATTTTTTCGAAAAAGTGACTCGGTACTCATCTGGACCAGTGATCCATAACAATTTATAAAGCTTGGCGACGAGTCGAATGAATTTTTATCTGCATAGTTTTATTAATGTATTATTTTATAAATTGCGGAGCTTGAAAAGGTTAAGAGCCACTGTTCCATAGTTTTAAGTTAGCTATTTTTAGTGTTTCCATAAGTCTGATTATTCTCTTAGAGTTCTCCTAGGATCCTCTTGTGCAAATTTCTCAGCGCAGCTGCAAAACGAGAGAGTCTGACCGATACAGGCCAATCCCGTAAATGCGGAAGACGCTCCGGGTAGTTCGAGGCGGGCCTTAATTAAACGCGGGTACCAACGAATTCCATAATACGTTCCCGTTCGCGTAACACGGCCACGATAAGAACCACTCGTCCGACGCGGCGGCGCGTTCGTGGGATTTTTTTCGGCGAAATAATGCGCCAGCACCAAGCGCAGACCGGCTCTCCCTATCGCCATTGTGGCCGCGAGGGCGCAATTAATTATTGCGTGCCCGCGAGCGAGCGCATTGTTGCATCTGTTGTTGCACGCTCCACGATTCCTTGTTTGTATAGTTAACCGGGAGAGCTGTGAATGATTCTGCGCCTCGAAACGGTTTTCGGCGAACGTACGCGATTCTTTGTGCCCCCGCGATCGGGGCCTCCGGTTATTTATGAGCTCACGGTAGCTCCGTGCAATTTACTTCGACTCGCCGTCGTACGAGTACAATTAAGAGAAAAATGCGTGAGTTCGAATTGGATTGTTTTTGTTATGTTTTTGGTGTGCCGTCTTGCGCTTGTTTGATGTTGAAAGAGGAGAAAATGGGCTCGAGATAGATGCATGTTGGATTTAGAGTACGCTTTAAACATTGGACTTAACCAGTCAGCTGTGTCTGACGACTATATCCGTCATGCGTAAAATTAGTTACTATTTGCTATTTAATCTCTTGACAACGATGAGTCTGACTCGTTACAAGTTTCACTCGTCATCGAATCTTATATGTATATTAAAATCATCACATTTTCACATTCACCAAGTATTCGTAAATCTATTCTTTTTGTTTGAAAATTATTTGAAATTAAATCGTACGTCAAAGGGTTAACATTGTAATTTTAGCAAAAACTAAAATATATTCGTAAACTTCAACATGTTTAGAATCTTTGGAGGTCGAAATGAAGTAAAACAAACAAGTGCACGCTCTGAAAAGACATCGCCACAGTTGACTGGTTAAAATGAGTCTAAGAATTTAAAATATCCTCAGTGTGTTTAAATTGGCCCCGAAAAATAAACAGTTGGCAAGGATTTGGTCGAGAGTTTAAAACGAATGCGCTCGATACGAAATGTTACCGTGGTCCCAAGGTGTGCGATGCTTGGGCGTCGACAGACAGGCGCAGGTGAGACACAAATGAAAGACGTAAACGCGGGCGCAGCGGAGAATCTTGAGGTTGAACGTCTCCTCGAGTTCGTGTTTTGTCGAAGGAACAATCGGGACTGTCCGAGGGAAGGTAATTAAGAGAACACGACGGCGACGATTAAACGAGTCCTGCCGAATCAGGTGAAACGAATTAATTCCACCATCGAACGAGGGTCGAAGATAAACGATTGGGGGCCTGATGGAGGCCGAGGATTCTGTTTAACGATTCAGTGACGAATACTTTCGCGCGACGCTGCGGAACATTCTTCCCCCTGTTCGAATAAAACCTGCCATGCGTCGTTTAACTCGAAGAAATAGATGCATATGCGATTGTATCCAAAATTTAATTCTAGATTAACAATTACATTTTACTTCGGTTTATTGTTCTCAATAATTTAACATCGATAATAAATTGGACACAAACTAAAAGTTTAAGTTGACGACTACAGTTTTCACGTAACGAAATCGTAAACGTAATGCGAATACGACACGTTCTGATGAGTTCAATGCGTGGAAGTATCGTCACCGGTAAAAATTTATACGATACAGTAGAATTTCTTGGAACATGTTTCACACAAAAAAGTACCAAAAATTGCGAAACACCAAACGTGTCCATGAGAGCAAAAACGACGTATTAACAGAGGAAGGACTGGTGCGCCGCGTGCCGTTTGCTCGAAATGCAAAAGCAGAGCGGATGTTGCCCGTAGGCACCGACTGGAAGCCCTCGAACGTCAAATTACGAAACACCTGTTCCTCGAAACGACTTCATTTCAAACGGTTTCGTGCACTTTCATTGGTAGCGTTCTCATTGCTTCCGCGGGAACACCTTCTTACTTCGCGTTCGCGAATGAACCCTGGCGAACCGATTAAAGGCGGCAGAGAGCAAGTAATGCTCCGTGAATCCATTGTTTAGGCGTTCCTGGTTCTACCTCTGCGTCAGAGTAATAAGAACAATGCTCATTACACGATACACGAGAGCGATACGTTGGTGAATTAATAGGCCCGGAGAGATTATAGTCCGATCAAAATCAATCGGCCGTTCGAGGTTGCCTCCCCGACTGTGGATCGTGTGAAATGCGAATTCTAGTTTTGCATCGATTGCTTGGTCGTTGAAAAAGTTACGAGGTCGTGTGTCTGCAGATTTTAGGAAATCGACGATAGATTAAAGGACGCGTTGTCGAGTGGCCAGTCGATTTTGTTCGTACGATAATTCTTCGCGGACACTCCATTCTCTGGGAAGAGAATAATAACTGCGAGGCTTGTACATGCGGTTTTCTGTTCGAAAGTCGAATTATTGCGTAATCTTTGCTGACAAATACATAATAACGACTCGTTTTGTAGGGAACGGTACGCACGATGGAAACTTGGCCTTTATTCGCGGTTCGCGAGAATGGCTGCACGGTAGCCTCGATGTTGGCGATTCTGGTCCCTGTAATTTCGACGCGATACTGTTCATTTAGGGTCATTACGCGTCGAGAGTTTCAAGATTCCCCGCGTTACGTGGCGAAGCGAAACCGTTTCGGCTGAAACACAATCGTTTGCTCACAAAACGAATGGCGAACATCGAGCTGAAAATACTTATGGCACTGTTGAAGAAGACGCGAAAGTTTACAACTCGTGGTCACTGATCGTATTCAATCACTCATCGTGAACTCGACTCGCTTTCATATTCGTTCTTTGTTACAGTGTCAAAGAAATTGTAGAGTTCTCCTCCGGCGTTAACGTTTTACTTACATTCGAGCTCTACTATCGTAATCCCACATCGAACACTTAGGAATGTTAGGCACTCTGAACGGCTGATTGACTGTCGCCGCGTTTTCCACGAGCTCTCTTAAGCTACCTGGTTTGTACAAAAATATTCCTGAGTCTTGATCGTCGTTAAAAGCTTCAGTCTTCGAAAGCTCATGTGGCGTCACCTCCCACGCTCGCCACCAGAGGGATCGCGCTCTCACAAGCGCTCGACCGATCCCCCCGTTGCTGTACCCACTTGTTCCTTTCGTTTAGCGTTTTCAAACGTCGTCAAGCACTCTCAAACTTGCTCAAACTTCGGTCGAAACACGTTTCCGCACATACTATCTAACAGCTGTCTGAGGAACAGAAACACTCGTTCCGTCGAACTTTTCACCCAGTTTGAATTATTCGATTTCGTGTTAGATGTAGTCTGACGGCACCGAACTTTCGTTTATCGCCGCCAACCGATATTGTGGCGTTTCTAGGCCCTGCGGATTCAGATGGAGGTTCGTGTTGTTGTTGGACGATGCAGCCGCTGGCATCTGTTGATTCGCCGAGTTGGAGCTCAGGTCGCTGTAGTAGGCGCTGCTCGGCGCGCTGCTCAGCGTCGGTCCGTCCGGCTCGGCGTCGCTTCCGGTGTACGCTGTGTTTTGGTACGACGGATGCTCACCGTTCCTGCTGCCGATCCGCAGGTCCTGGTGATGATGGTGATGGTTGTGGTGATGATGGTGGTGATGGTGATGCTGCATCTGACCTGGCGGCACCGGCGTCGACGGCCCGTTCTCGTACATCTCGTAATCCGGTTCTTGTAACCTGAAAAATATCGGATTACGGGACGTTAGCCAGTGTCAGCGATCGATTGGATCGTCCTACGAGTTTACGCCTCGTTCGCGGCGACGTTAGTGACAGATAAGGCTTTGGACGTCGTTTCCTGTTCCATGGTGGCGCCAAATGACTCGACACTTGTCCTTCTGTCTTAGAATTTGGTTCCGGGAAAGGGCCAGGTAGCTGGACCTCGAGATTACCCGAAGCTCAAAGACGAGGATCAGTGTCAAGTCAAACGGGCACTTTACCCATTCTAAGACTCGTAATCGAGAAGAGTAAAATCAGGTTTCTGGTATTCGTCGAACAGGTTGCATGTTATTAATGGAACGCGTTTGCAATAACACTTGCTAATATTTAACCGAGTCGCTAGTGTATAATTGTCTATTTCCTTTAATGAATCTTTGATTGACTCGCAGAAATGCACTTTGACTGGATAATTATTATGCACGGTCTCGCAACGGTACATTTTAATAAGACGCGTTTACTCGTAATACGATGTTGTTATGCGACTGTCCGTCCTTCGAAAAGCGTAAAAGCGTGTGAAACTGACTTGGAAAGTTAGCCTCGAAACTGGTTCTGACAGTGACGTTACTCAAGGTGTTGCTCCATATTTTTTTTACTTATTTGGAAAGGAATATATCAGACAGGTGAAACGGTATAGTAATTTCTAAAAGGTTGAACAAATTGTGTGCTTCATGTTCGAGAAGTAAAAATTGAAATTAAAAGTTTGAAATTTATTACATAAAAAAATCGAGAACCAAAATGATGGTTTGTCCCTCGAAGCGATGTAATCTAGTTTCATCCATAGACGAGATCGTTAGGTGCGTTATCTTGTGCAAGTAGTTGTACAGCGAAAAACTTAATTACGAGGACTAATTTACCTTTTACTGTGCCGTGTACGGAGCGTGTCCCTTTGCAATGATCCGTCCTCGTTGCCAGCGCCGTAATGACGATGTAACCTCGCGGCGTCCAGCTCGTGGTATTCGTCGTCCTGTCCGCCGGAAGTTGTACCGTACGTCGAGCTTCCTCTCATTTGTAGTTGAAGATCGCTCGCGTAGCTCGCGGCTTGCGAGTCAAGTTCTGCGTAGAGCGCCTCGTCGGTCTGCATGTGGGTGTAGTGGTTCTCCACAGGGAGATTCATGGCCCGTCTATGTTGCGGAAGAGACAGAGGCGTCGTGACGACTCCTGGCGTACCACCGCCGCGTCGCGAGCCTAACCACGACCACACATTGTGCCCTTGAATCAAATCCCATGAATCGATAGGATCGCACGGTTCTCGGCGACTTGTATCGCGTACAGTATAACCCGTATTTCAATCGCGAGAGTCTCGCTAACCCGTTCCCCATTGCATTGGTCATCCATGACAGACATCGTACTGTCATCAATGACTCACAGGTAAATGAATGTATCAACGATCATGTTCTACTTTAATCTTGTAACGAGCGAGTGAAATAAAGTTTCGATGTTATTATGTGTTAACCCTTAAGCGGACTCTCAGTCTTAGTTTAGTTGTTGTCTCTCACGTGTAAATTCATAAAGTCATCTTTCTCTTCCAGTTACCATGCAACAGATTCTTTAAAATGCCAATTGTTTGAAGCAACATCATTTCGTGGACTATTAAAAAACACAGACTAGAGGTTGAGAAACACTGATCTGGTACACCCAGAGACTTTCGTTTAAATTCGAATAGGATCGTTGATACGAGAATTTCGACCAGTTTGATATCTACAATTCCCCCTAAGTCTATACTGGAATTCTGTCAATCTGTATATCAAAGTCTGGTTCCGTAATTCTCCCCAAGTTTACGTATCGGAGTTCTGTCAATCAGACTTATCTCGCCCCAATAAAGGCAAATACATATTGGAATATTTAGTTAACGATACGTACCAGGACTAGGCGCAACATCGTGATAAGGGGGCAGTTTGTCCAATTCGAGGGGTGGTCGGTCGGGTATAACGGACACGCCACCGCCAGCCCCGCCTCCGCCACCTGGGCCGCCGGCTTCCTGAACGTTCGAGTCCTCGACGCCGACGCTGCAGCAGCCCGCTGGAACAGAAACAAAAAAGGCAGGTCTTGAGGCTTGTTCCTTCGGAAAATCCGTTGGCGGGATCGTACGAGCGAATCGTGCTCGAGTTTCATCGTTGAAGGGTCGAGGACCCACGAATCGAAACGAAGCTGGTGAAGTGCCAGGTGAGCTTTTGGCCCCGGGAATCCTGTTACGTTGCGAGAGGCCCGGCGTACGCACGGAGCCTACGAGAATCCCGCGTATAGATATTTCTATATCGGTATATTTTACGCGCACGTACACACGCGAACCCGGATCGCCGCATTATGACACGAGCTCGGTTTATAGGGAGCAAGAGAAAGATAGAGGAGAGAAAAAAAACGGCTGTTTTCTGTATGGCTTCATTGTGCGGCTGTCATCGCGCCGTCATAGCCCTCATAGAAACGCGGCAGGGTTCGGGGTGGTAAGAGGGCAGAGGTGGAGGAATCGAGGCAGAAGGAGAAAGGTACGAAGGGCAAGACGCAGGAGCGGTCGAAAATACAAAAAAAAAAAAGGAATTTGGAATTCATAGATCAGAAGCACCGCCACTCGGTAAGTAGGCATGAGAATGCTGCAGTGAAAAAACGAGATTATGGGAATCCCATGGTCGTGTCTCTCTCTTTCTGGTTCACGTCGGTGTACCTCATAACCTACGCACGTACGAGTCTCTCCTCGTGGTTTGTCGTCCTCGTCCTTCTGGTCTCTCGACGATGGTTTTCGTCGTCCTGTTCGGCGAGGCTGCGACGACGCGCCTTGGCGGCTGTCACTTGCCAGGAGATAGAGAGACTGGTTCTCGTTTATCGCGGTGCCCTTACACCAGCGGCACGCACGCGTGTGTGCCCCGGCGCAACGAGGCACAATCTCCTTTCCTACCTGCGCCTCGTCTAGACGCTATTTTCTTCTTCTTCCGAGAAGCTCGCGAGGATAATTGCTGATGCGCCTCTGACGTTCCAGAATGAAAAGCAGGGTGACGTACCCGAGGAGAAATTTAATTCTGCCTCACGGAACCTCGCCGTTCCCGGTGTATTTATAACAAGACGTTACACGGCAATTTACATAATTAGGATCTATGCAACGTCCGCGGGATCGTCCGGGTAATGGGAGGACACGAGCGTCCAACGTCGCTCGAGAGAACTCTTTTGACGTATCGATTAGCGTATCTTAACGACGGCTAGCTGTTATTAGATGCATCGAGACTCTCGGTGTTTCAATACGACGAACGATGTTCGTTCCTCTTTCGACAAAGATATTCGAACCTGTTCGAGATCGAAGACCAATTAGCGACCAATTACCAGTTTCCAACGCGTTTCGAAGGATTCAATAGCACGCCGCGCACTTTCTGCCTCCAATCAACCTTTCTATTCATTCGGAGCCACCCTGGGGTACCGGCATGCTCCGCGACTTCATTTGCGCGCGACTGACTTAGAAATCCGAGAGCAATCGATTATGTCCACGAGCCGTGGTGTAATCACGTTATTTATTCGCGTACTCGCGAGTCTTGACCATTCAGTACGGGCACGCATGAACCGCGATCAGCGATTTAGCATTCCGTGGCAAACGTTAAGACCGTAAATAAAGACGGTTTCGATTTATCGACGAGCCGGTTCGTACCATACCCACAATTTCTCATAGAACTTATTTTTACAGGCTCGTTAAAATTCTAAAGTATCTAGATTTATTTTCTTTAACGTTCAATCTTGAGTATTTATCTTTTTTGGCTCCTCGGTGAAAAGTCACGTCACCCACAGATGGAGAATTGAGAAAATCGAAAATTCTCTTATTTTTGAATCTTGAAGCTTTAATTTGACATTTAAAAAACTAACAAAGTTATCAAATATGGATGTTCGTCAGAACCACATCGAATGATCATTAATCTTCGCTTGAAAAAATTATATATCGAATATATTCTCCTGTGTGTAATACCTAGGGAATTTGGACAATTAGTTTGGTCGGTCCACGAATAAATTCTAGTCCAACGTGCGGCGTGGCGCACGATCGTTTCCACCGCGATTACGCCATCGTTCCCACCTATTGGACGAGGCGAGAGGTAATAGGATCCGTTCCTTTTCCAGCCTGTCGCTTTGCCTCGCACTTCCGTGGACGCATTACACCGCGTGATTTACCGTATTAGATGGTTCGAATATTAATTGGAGGGCGAACGGGACGCGTGAAAATCGTGCCGTGTCGTGACAGCGGGGGGCAAAATGGTCGTCGCTCGAAGTAGATGATTCGAGGGCCCGGATTCTATTTCCTCGAGCAGCTTCGCGTGACCGCAGGGCCCGTTACGGGGAGCTATGAACGCGACCGACCTCGATTCATTTTCGAGCATCGTTACGTCAAAAAGATTTTCGGTGAAGCGAGAAAATTGTACGTTAGGGCTTTGGCTTTTTGTGAAACCTCGTGACGGCTGAACGTGTTCCCGCGTCGAGCAGGATTCCGGTAATTATCTACCGTGCTAACGACCTCGTCGATTTTAATTTTATGATAGGTCCAGTGGAACTCTGTTTTCTCATATTTATAGCTGTCGTGAGGAGTGATATTTCCATCTCCATTTTTACTCGACTTTTGAAACGCAATCATGTTATTCTACTGCGTACAATGTTTAACCCTCAATCCCAACTGAATTATTTTACTTAATGTTGATTCTTATCAAATTGGTAAATGGAAATCAACTTTCCTTTAAAGCATTTAAAAAACAATGAACTAATGGAGGATTACATAAATTTTCAAAAAATTACATAGATATATGTAAAACAATTATCATTTTAAACTTGCCCGAATAATACACTTAAGGGTTAAACTAGCTATGTATGGGTGATAATTATTTCTTGCTTTGGGGTCGATAACATGGTAAATAATTATAGAGTGATAAGTGCAACAAAATTCCGACTGGGGTAGGAAATGAGGGCAGGTATCAGGGAGGAGCGGAAAAGTGTATTTTAGAATTTGCAAGATGGAAGAGAGTCAGACAGCCATGCACTAGGTTCATTTAAGGGAGTAGAAGTGACAAGGATAAAATGTACAAGGTTTGCAGGAGAAGAGAGAGGGAAAAGAGCACCATAGGCTCTACAATACAAAATGGTGTATTATACAGAGGGAATAAGGTATTCGTAGAAACGAAATAGAGGACTGGTAAAGATTAAAGCATGCATCGTGAATAGTATATCCCGGACTACTAAAGAACGTGCTAAAGAACGTCACAATACTATAGAATAACCATAACGGTCTAAATAATCAAGAATCAGGGCCCAGTCAGCGACACTTCTTTCGCAAAATATTGTACGCTAAGTGTCTTATAGTGTCCAGTGTAAGATCGAAATGCGTAAAAACCGGTCAAGAATACGCGATCTTTCAACGAATCGTGCAAGATCCTGTCGTTGACTCTTTCAGGGCGCAGCAGCTGATTCGGCGTATCGGCCGGGGGGAACGCGCGATAAGCCGATTAACGCATTCGATTCACCTATTCTACCCGGCTCTCGAATCGCTATTGTGTCCCGTCGATCGTACGGGAACCAAACGTGTACGGGCACTCGTCGTTTTTTTTCCACAACGGCCTCTTTCAGCCGTCCATTAACGCCTCTCTTGTCCGTTGGCATTCGCGCGGCGATTCTTAACGCCGATGGTCGTACACTTCGAACCGAGTTTCATTAATTCGTCCTTTTTCTGCGAGCTATGAAATTGCTCGACGCGCTCAATGCGCAACATCACCGCGTTGCTTATTTAACGAACTTGCCGCCCTTGTACTTTCCAAGGAGAATTCCAATTACATCCGTACGCGGGTACAGCTATAATTTCACCGCTGACAAGTTTACATACACGCCGGATAAATAAACCCACCGTGAACACGGTAAGCCCGCGACAGTGGTTATTGCGGTTGTGATGTAATTGATAGAAACTAAGAAGAAACGGAAGGGTTTAAATCATCGCTGCTCTTTCTGCGCACGAAGAGAAAACGACGATGTGGCGTTTAAAACCTTCTAGTGCGTGGATTCGGAACGCGATCCTTTCGTGTACCGGATTCTGGAGAATGATTTAGATGCTCCGCGGATAAAGACTTTGATCAAGCTAGACCCTATTAGTCTTTCTGAAGGTGTAATTATGTCTTTAATCGAAAATAGTTCCTCAAATGTTAACGATGTAAAATTCTTAATGTCATTTTCCTAGGTTATTCGAATTAACATTTTGCTCGACCCTTATAAATTGTGTCTCCAATTAGTATCTCGTTGAAATGTTAGCTTCGCACGCTACACTTAACCCCGGCGATCGGCAGGGAATCGGTGTCTGGGCAAATAATTCCACCTATTAAACCTCTCTATGGCGCGGCGTGCAGACGTCGCCTACTAAATAGACGCCTCTGGCGCCTGCTCTCTGTAGCCATCGTCGGTAGTGGTCACGACATTTCGGTGTGAAAGGCACTTAAGAGGCAAATCGTGGATCGGTGGAGATCGACGACAGAGTCCGGGGAGGTTCGGTAAAACGAGTGTTGGATAATTAATTCGGGTGACCCTTGTATCCCGGGCCGCTGGTAACCTGCCCTTACTCCCTCCTCTTCAGCCCTTCTTCCCGTCCTCGTTCGGTCCCCGGCCAGCCTCGCTCCTGTCTCCGTTACCCCGGTTCGTTGATCGTATCGTGCCGCGGGTGATTTTAAATCAGAAAGTTAATTAGACGCGTTTCACTGTCCTTTATGTCGCCCGTCCGTCGCGTCGCTCCGGTACCCTTTACGTGCACGAGAGCAACAGTAGCACGGCTGGATATACCGCCGTGAGCGGCTTTCATTATGCGAACTAATTAAACTCCAATCGAAGCTGACACTCGACGCCACGGCTCTACTATGCTTCTCGTTTGCACCAATCGACGCCGTACGTCGCGCGGCTGTGTGAGGCCCATGTGTCTTTCCTGCGGCGCAAGGAGAGCCCTGTGTTGGCAGAACGTCGCGGGAACGACATCCGGATACGTCTTCGAACCTCGGGGGCTCCGGTACGTGTCGGTCTCCCTTCTGTTTCCTTCTTTCGACACGTACCGGAGTACACGTACGTAACCCTCTTCGTTCAGGGGAATCAAATCGATTCGTTTGTTACGTTTCTAGGGAGGATCGAGCCATTCGTCCAGTTTGTAGGTGTTTGATTTGCTCTACCGGAGGCGGTCTCCAGTTGTCCTTGGTTCACTTGTTATCCAAGTGTCTTTAAACCTGTCTTGCTCCTCGGTTATACGTTTTTCATGCTTCCAATTAGGTTACGACAACTCTGGTGCTACATTAGTTACTTGTGTATCGTTATCCCTCTTCGTTTGGCATCTTTAAACTTTGAAAGATCTACGTTCGTTAGGATATTTAATAAAATTTCGGAAAAGGTTGTTGGAACCTCTGGATTTATTTGCACTAGGTAAAACTACCAAAGTAGTAAATGTGACTCATTCGTAGTTTTTAATAAAAATTGTAAAAAATTTACTCGACTAGATTTTTGCAAATTTATCCTGGTTTTCTATACGAGAATGAATAAACATTTATTTCCATTGCATTCAAGTATCCATCGTTTCAATTTCTTTGGTACAAATAAGTACACCACAATTGTCGGTTTTAAATAATTCAGTGATTTGTAGAATTCATTAATCTTCTGTATTGTTGCATTTAAAATGGTTTGTAAAGTAAAATTTGTTCAATTAGATGTCGTGTTATTTGGATGTAATGTTATTGCAATGTTGACAGAACAGGATTTTGTTTAATAGATTGTCGTTAGAAGATTGTAGAAAAATATGTGCTACTGAATTATGGGTACAGCATAATTTTCTAACAAAAATTTGAACTTCTTTCATCATTTCGGTGTCAACACACGTGGCCTTTTGAATACAGATAAGGTTACAGGGAGCATTCACAATGGCGTCTTAAAAAGGAATTATTAGGAGGCGGATATCATATTTTAACGAGCAGTTAGGGAACCGTAGAATAGGTTGGGACTGCGAACCGATATCCCGGCAGGGAACTGGTATAATTATGAACGATTTCGAACATGACCTGTCAGCGCTATTGCTACGGACCCGACACGCTTCGATTGATATGCCTATTGTACCAATTTCGCATAATTGGAACGTAATTATTCCAACTACACGTCATACTGGTCGCGCAGGTTTTGCATTTTTCAACTTCAAAAATTGCTCGGTAATTCTCGGTCGCGCTCTATTCAACGAGGGTACGACAACGTTGGAACTAATATTCTCGAGCGGATTGGCATAATTTCAGGTGGATAATTTTCTGAACAGCGCTTGATTCTAAGCCAATCGTTAGCGCGGTGATACGGTAATTTATTATATTACGAAAATGTAACAGATAGAAAATGTAAATCGTACCGATAGAGGGCTGTAATAATAACTGGACGGAATGCATGGCTACATTAATCGTAACTTCGATAAGCAGCTTAAATATAATCCTATCAACCGCATTAATAAATGTAACTCGAAACAACTGGTGAACCATAAGAACACCGGATTTATAATAATCCCAGAAGCTTTCTTTACCTCTGCCACCGGCGCTCTTCATTCTGAAACAGAAAATACAAACGGATCTATCAGACATTGAATACATATTGCCAGATAGTCGTACGATTTTAGAGAAATTATAGATCTTAAAGACTATTTATAATTTCAACTACAAGTGAACGTTAAAAATTATATAATCAATTGACAGTTTCAATTTCGATAAATGTACGTACTTTTGTGATATATTTCCATTATAAATCTTTGATTTGGAATATTACAAAGCAGTTGTACAATTTATTTTAATAGTATTTGCTGCTATTCGTTGTAAACAATACGTTTCAAATGTTGTATCATCAAGTATGTAAATTGCCATATCTAAGTAAAGTAAAGTGAAATAAAACGAATTTTATCGACATTAAGAGTAGAAAAATATCAATATTCATATTATCTACAGAGTACTTTATATGATGAGTTTTAATTTTTTACAAAATTAAGTCATAAGTTTTGTCCGGTAAATTAATCGTAATCGCGACACTGTGCCTTATTAAGTCCTCCAATTATAGAAAAAAACAACTTTGAATATCCTTCGTGTATGATTTAAGAATATTCCAATACAGTATTGTCTAAAAAGTAGTGCTATGACAACTTTCGAGGAACAGTTAATGTTGAGATACTATTCTCAGAGTTACTAACTGTTATTCACATTTGTCTGTAAGCTCGATCGTATTACGATTACTAGGACAAAGGTATCGCGTGTTTTTGAGCCGCATCCTAGCCAACAGGCTATTAAAATTGCGACGCAGGGCGCAAAACACACGATAAAAGTTCGCGCTAATCGCTTTACGAACGCGAGCCTTTGTCTCGATCGTCAGAGGAAGTGGATCGCTATAAAGATCGTCGATTTCTCGTCACGGTGGAACGAAGGGCTGACCGTAGTTACGGCTGTCCCTCGGCGTTGCGCCGCCGCCGCGGCTTTTTTCATTGTTTCCTCTCCAACTTTTTTGCCCTGTCGCAGCGCGGATTCAAATCGACCGATCTAGTTAGCAACCGGTTTCACCCTTCTTATTATGGTCCGGTTCCCTCGATTTTGATGCATTGCAGGGAGGTGGTAATTTAAGGGGGAATCGATCGGGGCAATCGGCCGCGAGAGAAGCGAGCTCTTGGTTAAACCGCGATCGTTTCGCGGATCTGCCTGATCGTCGATCCGTATCGAGATGCATCGCTGGCTTCTTCCTCTTTGTATAGATTTCGAAAGCAATCTCTCTCACGGAAACCGACCGCGTGCAGTTGTTTACGTTCTCATATTTCGATTCCAGGTTCCGCGATCGAACGGATAAAATTCCTCATCGAGCCGCGAGATTGAATCCGACGGAATCGCCGCGCTGACCGTTCGCTAAATCTACAATTACGGAATCGTACTAACCTCCGACAGTGTAGAAGCGTCACCATCACTACTGCACCGATCCCCGCCGACACTAGGGACACTATCACTAAGGTGAGCACCCATCCTAGTTCTCCGGGAGCTTCTGTAAACAAACCAAAATATACCATGTTAAACGTGAAGATGCGTCGTTTAGAAATTTAGATGTAAATATGATTGCAAGCACATAGAAAATCAACGATAAATCACCTATCACAGGACCAACTTTCATTGCTTTCATTTGTATGAAATACTCTCAATGTATTATCATTGTCATCGGTAAAAACTTCATCAATTCGAGTAAGAAAGATTCGCCTTGTCATCGGGGACAAAATTGAGCCATATAGCGAGGGACTACTGTCCGATTCACAGTAGCAAACGAAGCATAAAAATATGCAAAACACCGTGTCGTGCAACGCGTGCATTAACACGAAGACTCGACAGCGAACGCTTTACGGAGTTGGAGAAAATGAATTGGTCGTTCAAGGCTACCGAAGATGAGTCATCCCCACCATAACGTTTCGTTAGTCCCCTTCTTCGAGCCATCTGGTTTCGCACGAACCGCGCAGCGTGCAGAACCTCAATGAAGTCGCGTTAATTTGTCGTCGGTAACCATCCCGGACGGTAATCTTTTTTCTCGCCGGTCCACCATTCAACGGAGAATGAGAAACTTCACGTGACCGCTACGATCTCTCGCAAACGCGATCGGACTACTTCCGAACGTTTCCATGACCCACCCGCTGGGACAAATTCCCGGGGGACGGTCCTGGATAAATTGACTCAGGGGTGCTCGCATGTAGCGTCAGTGATCGCTGGAGGACTGCACGGTAATTGGGCCGCGGTTGCACTCGCCGCGTCCGGTTTCCGCACAGCGGGACGCGTCGCAGCTTTATTACGCGAGCTCCGGTATTATCTCTGCGCCGCGCCTACCGAAAGACTCCCTTCGGTTCCCTCCTTTTCGCCGTGGAACCTTTCTGATCCTGTGCAACGAGACACGAAATTATCGCTCGCGTGGACCCTGCGTCGGGTCCAAACATACGTGACTCGCAGTAGTGTCTTAACGAATCAGAATCAGAATCAGAGGTGCACATAGTATTTCACTTACGGAGGAAAAGTATAGAAATTTAATGGTTTTATTATTTTCCATTCCTCCAAATCATCACGAATATTTAGCTATTCAAGTGTGCAATATAGAAAATCTCTAATTGAAGATAGATAAAATATACAATTCTAAAATATATTTTTTTTTCTCAAGTTCTTAATGAAATTTGTATTTTTGGTCGTAAGTCAATAACTAGGATATACCATTAACACTAGAACTACCTAACTAATCAAAATGACCCATTCGTAATTTCTAACAAAAATTGTAAAAAATTTACTGTAGTTCTCTATGAGGAAATGAATAAACGTTTATTTCCTTTGCATTATACATTATACATTTCTTCGAGAGTCCTTTTAATTTCTTTTATACAAATAAATACACCATAATTGCCCAGTAGTTGTATCGCTAATTTTGAATTCCACTGTCCAAAACACACATTTTCAAGTGATTTAGCCCGCGATATTTCGCAACGCGTCCAGGCAGAAATGTCCGCGGTTAATAGGGCGAGTTGGTCGCGAATGGCTTGAAAGTCGCTCGGAAGTCATGCTGCCTCGCGACTCGAACCAAATAATTTTCCATGCTTCCCTATCAAGGGAACACTGCTATTTAACCAGTTCTCGGTTCGTTCGTCCCCGCAATTCTCACAGTTCGTGATTCGCTTCTCTCGCTCGCGCCGCGGTCGATGTACGAGCTCGCGACGATTATTCCGTTCGTAGCGCTCATTAGCGAGCAGCTTCTGGCGATTCCCGGGGATATCTTAATCCTTTAATGAAACGTTTCTGCTTGATCCCTAATTTAGCGGCTTAATCGCGAGCGTTTTTCGCGGAACGAGTACCCGTGGTCAACTTTTACTGCTCCCGCGATCATAAATAGACGGGAAGATGTAATTTAGTTAGGCGAGTCGCGACCAAATAGCCGAGAGGAGACAGAAAGAAGCCTTACTTCGGTTTACAGTGGCACAAAGAATTCGCATTTACGGCAATCAATCGATAATGTACGATCGAATAGTTCGACTTGTTCTTATCTATGTTAAATGTACTACATTATTACATGCTATTAGGGATACCTCGCATACGAATAAATAACAAATCTTCTTTTTGTTGCCTTCTGTTAATTTCTTTTGACTTCTTAGAGTAACAGTATAGATGGTTCTTGTCAAACTTCCAAGACTCGTATTCATGGAAAGAAATAATAGTAAAATTTAATCAGTAGATTTGAATCGTGATTCATGATCGTCTAGGTTCGTTGGCCACTTAGGTTCACAGTTTGAGAGACAGGGCACAGTTTCAGATACGGTTCGTGGAATCATTCTGGCGTACCCTCGTATCAGACATCGTAGGTGCCCCCGTGACGACGGCTAAAAGCGTTATTGTGCTCTGTTTATTGTATTTGTCGCCTCGTGCAGAAACGCACGCGTGTTTGAATTCGTCGATGTTCCGATTGTTCGCGACAGAGAGAACACGAAAGGGTTCGTTCGAGAGGAAAAGAGGGGCGCTTGTAATCCGCTGCCGGCGCTCGACCCTGAGAATTCACCGCTAGACCCAGTCGCTCGTGACCGCGGACTGACCGGACAACGTTAGAGTCGTGCCCCATTCACGTCGGTGTTTGGGAGCTGTTCTCCAACAACTCTAGCCCTTTGTTCGATACTCGATCTGGTTTCATTCGAAGTCTCTCAAAGGGTGACGTTGAAACAAGTTGGGCGAATGAAGTGTGTAGGTCTCATCACGATTGGTAGACATCGATTGGAATTCTTTCCTCTAACCTAGCGTTCAGATTATCACAAGCCATTACAAACAGTAAAGTCTCATCTAAAGTGCTAAATAATTCGATGAGCCCAATGAACAAAACGTGTGAATCCTTCGTTTCTATTTTCATTCTCTTGTGCTCCGATTTGGATCTAGCCCTGGCGAGCGAAAACACCGACTCCTCGATGCTCTGGTTTCCGTTTCATTAACCGGTGCCGGGACAATCGTGTGAAAAGGGACGGGCTAGAGAGACACGGCGGAAGAGTATCGAACAGAGGAAAAAAGAGATTTTTGACACGGCGGGCGTGTAAGTTTGAATTAACGGCAACTGGTCGCGTGGAAGTACACCGACAGAGGAAGAAACGGGCTCGAAAGACGGTACGACAGTGTAACAGAAAGGAGAGAGAGGAGAGCGGGCCCCGTCTATCAGCGTCACGTTTCTGACGTGAACATAACAACGTGCACGCCACGGTTGATAACGCCTTACAAGAGAGTTATCAATCATCTCCCGCGGGGACGGGCCCCCTAGGATAATTCGTGTTAACTCCGAGGCGCGCGAACAGCCTCGCTATGCGTCAGGTTACAACGTTGTTTCGACGAGGAAGCGAAAGAAAAAAGAAAGTACAACACCTCGATTTTTGGGAACGTCCCTCCATCTCGGATTCCCTGTCAGAAACGAACCAAGCGTACAAAAAGGGACACGTTTTCTGCGGTGTTCGGCCCTTTGTACGCCTGTCGATTTTGCGTCGACCGTACGAAACCACTCGACCATCGAGCTTTAGGATTCCACCGACCTCTGGATTTTGTATATTGTTACCTACCCGTCGTTCCAACTACCGTAAATCAATTTCTCGTTCCTCGCTACTCGCGTAAAACGCTGCCTAACAGTTCACCAGTAGAGGACTGAGGTACCTCGAAATTAGCTTTCTTTGTCTCAGATAAATATCTTTTTTAACCACTGTTGAAACGTCAAATCGTGGACATCGTCATACACATTTTATAATTACAAGCAACTCTTACTGTTTGCTCGAAAAACTATAAAAATCTGTACCCGTATTGAAACACGATGGGTGGGACAAGTAAAATAAAATAACCTTTTTTGCTTGTCTCACAGTCTCGCGATGTAAAAATAATATTACCAGTCGCTTTTTTTGCTTGCGTTTCTCCGATGTCTCGAATGAATTTTCCACGCCGTGGATCGGGGCTTGCGAAAGAACAGTTTCTCTTAGACGATCCGTCGTTCGAGCTCCTCGTAAAGCGACTCATTTCCTTGGTTGCAAAAATAAGTTGAGCCGGTCGATGGTTCATCGTGGCGGCAATAAACCGCAACGACTGCCGCGATGTTTGTACCGGCGTTCGATCGTTCGATCGTGCTTTAACGCGCGATCGTTTCATCGTTTTGCCATTTTCAGCTCGGCCGACGATCGGCCATTAACTACTGTAACATCGAAGCGACGCAGGATCTCTGCTTGGATATTCCGCGGTCGTTTGATGTCGCTGGTCGCGTTACTGACGCTCTATTGCGCGATTCCGCGATGCCGCTCGAGATATTAATAATAATTCACTCGGATCCATCGAATTAATATAGATTATTATCATAAATATAACATACGACGCACTCTGGCAATCCGTAATTATTTCAAGATGTATGAAAAGTATTTAAAATGCGAAAGTGGATGGAACTTTTCTCTCGCGTATTTGCACTACTTTGCAACCATAAAACAGAATGTCAATAGTTAAGAAAATGTATTGATCTAACACTTTTCAATGCTGCGTCCGTGTACTGAATTTCATCAAAGCGAGAGATTGATGTTTCTGGTTAGACCGGCCACGTATTTCATAACTCAGAACCTCGATTATTGGGACCACGAATAAATGCGTTGCTTTCGTCCCCGTTCGTCCCGTGGTCCAGCAGAGTCTAAATAGTTTTTGATTTGTAAGCGTCCGTGGGGGGTCGACGCGTACGACGACGTGAACGCCATCGCTACATGCATTCCCCGACCCGATTTTACACGTGTTTACTGCCACCGGCGACGCTCACGCACGACACGCAACGAGTTCGCACTTATGCTTCGCAGAATTTATGCGAATATCGGCCATTTCGCGGGACACGGTCGCGAACAGGTGCGAAGGAACGCGATGAAAGGCGCACGATGTACGACCACCCTGAAGGTTCGAGAGTATTCGAGACTCTTAAGAGCACTTTTCGGTCAAATCGTGTGTGAAATTGGCAATTTTTATTTATCCACTATTACTGAT